GGGGCAGATTACTTAGCGGGGGGGGGGTGCAGATTACTTGGCATGGGGAAGTAGATTACTTTAGCAGGGGGGGGGCAGATTACTTAGCATGGGGGGTCAGATTCCTTAGCATGGGGCAGATTACTTAGCATGGGGGAGGCAGATTCCTTAGCATAGGGCAGATTACTTAGCATGGGGGAGGCAGATTCCTTAGCATAGGGCAGATTACTTAGCATGGGGGGGTAGGTTACTTAGCATGGGGTCCGATTACTTAGCATGGGGGACAGATTCCTTAGCATTGGGGGGGGTAGATTACTTAGCATGGGGGGACAGATTCCTTAGCATTGCGGGGGGTAGATTACTTAGCATGGGGCAGGTTAGGAAGGGCACAATACTTTCCAAAAATAGTCACAGGACTGCCCATTTGAAGAAAGTTCGTGGTTTCTGCACATAAGCTATTAAGGAATCAGTGGGGGCCAAAAGGTGGGGGTATTTTATTTAAATTAAAGTCTTACAAAGGTTTCTTGTGCTGATGAACATGGCCTCATCCTTCATTCAGTCATTCAGCAAACATTTACTGCAGGTCCCATCTAGTGTAGAGAATTTGTTGATTCATGAGCTATAATTTCCACCCTTGAGCTCACAGCCTAATGGGAGAGACAAAGAAATCAGTACTATAGAGGCATTTTACCAACTCACGAAACAGCTTGTAGCTGTGGTCCGTGGGAAATGCTGCTGGCCCAGAGTGAAGGAGCAGCCTGTGGGGTCAGAGCAGCTCCACAGGGAGAGATCCACCTTGAGCTGGGCTTAGGAGAGTTGAGGTGGAGGGGTGGGGAGGAGCACATTCCTGGAAGGAACACAGAACCCTGAAGGAGTAGGACTGACGGGCAGAAGGCCAGGGTGAGAGGAGGAAGTAGGGAGAAGGGCTGGGCCAGCTCTCCACCCAGCGTCTGGCCAACAGCGCCTGTGAGGCCCAGGGTAGCTCTGATTCCAGAGTGCAGCAGTCCTGTGGGGAAGCCAGGGCACCACAAAGCTGTCAGTCAGGGGGCCTCAGCCACAGGTGACAGGGACCCGGCCACCATAGGCCGAGCCCACCACCACTCTGGATACTTGCCTAACAAGAAGTCTGAAGGCGGGTGGTTTCAGGGTTGGTGCGACAGTCAATGATGTCTTTAACATCCAGGCTCTTTCTCTGTCCTTAGCATGTTGTTTTGGTCTGAGCTAGTCACATTCCAGGCACCATGCTCCCATGCTAGCCTCTCACGGAAGGAAGGGAGGGGGGAGGGAGGGAGGGAGGGGGGGGGGGAGAAAAGGCTTCCCCTCCTGGGCTGTGCCCCTGTGTCCCAGCAGCGCCTCTCAGCAGTGCCACCCAGCAGACGTGTCCTTACTCCCCAGGGGTCAGAACCGGTCGCTTGCCCACTTCTGGACCAGGCACCCTGGGCTATGAGATGGCTGCTTTGGGCAGTGAGAAGGAAGGGACGGCTCGGCTCTCGGGTGGGCCAGGAAGGCGGCTGCCGCTGTGGGGCTTGGTGTGGTTGCCTGCCTGAGTCCCTCCTTCCAGCCTGAGGTTGGTCTGTCCCTCTGCCTCAGCCACTCCCTTCTCCCCTGGCCGCCTCACTCCTCCTGGGACCTCCAGGCTCCCTCAGGCCCCTCTCCCAGTCCCTCAAGCCCTCCTTCCCACCGTCCTGTTGACTCCTCCTTGATTCATTCACTCAGCTCATGCCTCTCCTCCACCTTCCAGGCCTGGAGCTCATGCTCTACGCTCACTCCCACGGCACTTCCTGCTGAACCTCCGGTGCCCTCGCTGGTGCTCACCCTCCTCGCAGCTCCACAGGACCCCGGAACTGACTTCCATCCTCTCACTTGTCCATTTTGCACTAAGAATGCTTGTCCAGCTGTTACCCTGACCACTAGTACCACCTCAAGGGCTGGGATTCTGTTCTCCATCTTTGCTCCTTCAGCACCTGGCACAGAACTGGACATACAACAGCAGCTCAGGAGTATAGGGGGAGGGCAGAGAGGGGAACAGGTGGCAGGAAGAAGGCATGCAGAAGGCAGGTGCCAGAGTGGAGGGGCTAAGGGACCCTCGGGGCAGAGGCAGATGGAGGGTGGGAAAGTAAACAGAGGGGTGTTACTTACAGCAAATTCCAAACATCATATGTCATTCATCAATATTTCAGTGTGTCTCTAAAAGTTATGGAATAGGGTTATTATTTTAATACAAACAAGCCATAGCCATAATCCTATATAATAGGAGGAATATGCTAATTACCCATTACACCATAACATCACGACCAATCTACAAGTGGTGGAAAGCTACAGGAGGGCGGGGCAGTGAGTTACAAGCAGAGAGAGCTACAGGAGGGCGGGGCAGTAGGCAGAGAGCTACAGGAGGGCGGGGCAGTGAGTTACAAGCAGAGAGAGCTACAGGAGGGCGAGGCAGTGGGCAGAGAGCTACAGGAGGGCGGGGCAGTGGGCAGAGAGCTACAGGAGGGCGGGGCAGCAGGCCGGAGAGCTACAAGCAGCGAAGAGCTACCAGCAGCGGTGGGTGGGTGGTGGCCAGCAGGAGGGCGGGGCAGTGGGCAGAGAGCTACAGGAGGGCAGGGCAGTGGGCCGGAGAGCTACAAGCAGCGAAGAGCTACCAGCAGTGGTGGGTGGGTGGGTGGCCAGCTGAGGCAAGCGGCAGCGAGTTACTCGCGCACAGATTCGTGCACACGGCTGCTAGTACTATTATACACTTTAAAACTTGTACTGATGTATTTTTAAAGCCTGAAAACAGTCAAGACTAGATAGAAATCTTCACAAAGGGTCACTGTGGGTCCTTTGAGTGATATGAGTATGTGACTTTTACACTGGAAAAACGGCATCAGTAAATGTGAAATGACTAAAAAGGAAATGACTGTGCGTGCGCTCGCGGAGGGGGCAGTCATCGGAGGGGGCTCTCAGGAGAGGGCCTGTGGGAGCCGCCCAGAGCTGAGCAGCATGTGGCTGTCTTCTCCACCTGGTCAGCCAGCTCCCGGTCTGTCCCTGTCCCCTGGTCAGGGAACTGGTGGGTAGGTCTGCTTTCCGCATGGGCCTTGAAGGCATTCCCTTGCTATTTACAAGGGAATATATCCTTGAATCTAAGACATCATGGAGTGTGAAAAGGAAAAGCTGCCAACTGAGCTCTGATAGGTCGTCCTTTGTAAGATACATCCCAGTATCAAGGGGTTCAAGAGTGGAAAGGGGGAGCTTAGGGTCAGTGGAACAGAGAGCGCTATCCAGGGTGGGGGTAGAAGTGGGGAGGGGACTCAGCAGCGACCTGGAGCAGCGAGGCCATCTGGAGGCTCAGCCAGCCCTTCTACAAACATTGACCGAACCCCTGTTTTCTGCCCCACCAGAGAGTAGGGCTGGTGAGAGAGAGATGTCCCCAAGAGCTCAGAGCCCACCCACGGCAGAAGAGACATCCTCCAGACAGAGCAGGGTGAGAGTGGATGAGTTTAGGGCCACACAGGCCCCGGTTTTCCCCCCTCCCCTCCCGGGCACTGGGCATCAGCTGCCCTCCCTCCCCCCACATAAGGTGGTGAGGACGTGTCTTTGGTGGCCACTCTTTCCTGCTCTCAGCCCTAGTGAGGTCATGGTGCCTAGTGGCTATTGGTCACTGCTCCTTCCCTGACATTGTCTGGCTGATAAGTCAATGTCCGCGAAGCCGACAGTCTTATCTTGGTTTGACAGATGAGAAAAGGGACACTTAGAGGGCTTGGGTCCTCGCCCATGGTCTCTGAGT